AGTCGGATTGCGATTTGGTTTGGTTTTGGTTTGTTTCCTTTGTTTTGGATGATGTCTTATTGGGCTGACATTGGACCTAACATATTCTGTTTGAGCTCTTCTGTTTCCCTTTAGCTGTGCTGTGTTCCCGACTGGTCCATTTCCAGTCTCCTGCAGTCTGTGCACACCGGTAACATCGTTCCCCTTTCCTTCCCTCTTCTCCATTGAGGGCAATGTCGATCTTAAGTGTGGGGGGGGGGGGGGTGATGTTTATCTTTTGACTGCATTAGCTCTGTTTGTGTGCTTGGAGCCTAGTCCACTGTCCAAATTTTTAAATTTGAGGGCTCCAAGTACGTGTTCCTTGCAATTGCCTGCTCAGTATGCTTTGAATTGACAGTCTCTGTAGTGATTTGCAACCTAGGGAGGTAGTGTAGCACTATGGAGGATGTTGATGCATTTAAGAAGTCTCATTTCTTCTTCATATTGTGTTGGTTGATTGAGTGAATTAGTGATCTTAGGACCCTTGAATTGTGTGGTGTTGTGGACTCTCTGTCTGTCATGGACTCTTGTATCATGTTCTGAATGTAACAGGTGCTCGAAATGTGCTTTAAAATAACGTCTCCCGTGCGAATAGGGCGAAAGTGTGTAAGGGGAGACGGGAATCCGTTCCCAATTTCCACCTACTACCTCCAGCCCCCTTACATGTCTTTCCCCGCACGAGGCTCGAGACACCCGCTCCTGGCATGGCCGGTAAGAGCCGGGCTCCCGCAAAACCTTTGCTAGGTGGGAGCCCCCGTTTTCTGCAGAAACAGGTTGGAACCCGAAAAAAAAAGAAGAAAAACAGAAAAACAAGCAAAAAAGAAGAAAGAAAAGGGTTCCAACCATGTTCACAAAGAAAATCGAGCACCTTGAGTTAATGTGAGTCCATGATCTTTTGTTTGTGAGAGTCTCTTCATCCACGATTCATTTGTCCTCTGTTCACTATTTGCCATGATGCCGATTCGAGACTAGCGTTCTCGCCGAAGAGGCTATGAGATGACCTTGTGCGTCGGTTGACCTCGTAAGCTGCTAAATGATCTAGGAAGTCCGCTACCTACGATCGAGGTTGTTTGTTGCTATAGAGGTCTGGAGAGTTGCATTGGTTTGAGTTAGGTTTGCTTGGGGACAAGCAAACGGTTAAGTGTGGGGGAGTTTGATAGATCGATAATTATACATGTTTTCACCCCTATTCTGAAGCCGTTTGTGATGAGGAATCTCGTGTTTTAAGCCGATTTCACGCTAGGTTGTGTGTTTATGTCATATTTCAGGTCCCGGCGTTGGAATCGAGGCAAAGGAACGAGTTCCGGGTCGAAAGGAGCGAAGTTGGGAAAAAGGAGGCTGTTGGACCAGAATACCCGGCCAAAGGAAGAAATACCCGACCGGGTATATTCTGGACTTGACCGGGTATTTTTCCCTTCAGGCACCCGTGAGAAGCAGAAGGGGGCCCGGGCGATGGCCTTAAATCCCCGGTCGGGGATTATGAGGATAGACCGGGGATTTTTCCTCTTAGTGGAACGGCGCGTTTTATGAATACCCGGTCGAACCCTGAAATACCCGACCGGGTATTTCGACCAGGTATCGCGATGGCAGCTGATAAAAGGAAAAGAAGGCCAATTTTCAGAGGGTTCCGAGTTTTTGAGAGAGAAAGCGATACCTAGAGAGAGAAAGCGACGAACCAGAGTTCCCAAGCACCATAGATCGATCTTCAACACCATTGGAGCCCGGCTTGAGCTTGGAGAAGTGCGATTAAACGTCCAGGAGCAGAAATCCATCTTCACAGTATGATTTCCGCGTCTGAATCTGCTTTTGCTTCTTTCTCTATGGAGTAGTTTCCCCATTCATCTGGGTATGGGGAACCCTAGATTTGTATGCTAGGTCTGATTGTATGAACCCAAGTACAGAGTTTGTGAATTGATTATATTCTATTGAGGTTTGAATGATTGAATGACTTGAATCCTGATCAAATTCCTGTTGTTTCTGCTTTGACCTGGAATGAGAATATCTGCCTAGGTTGATAGAGTACCCTTAATCGAAGGTGGCGAATTGGTGACTTTAGTCGAGAAGCCAATTCGCTATTCTGTACCGAAGTTAATTCGGAAGTGGAGGTTTGGTTCATTAGGGCCTCAATCTGTTTACTCCGGTGGAGGTTAGTCGCCCGCTAGAGACTCAGATTGAGAGGGTCTGGAGACCTTTAGTCGAGACTTCAGGCTAATTGAGAACCTTCCGCAGTATAACTTTCATGAAAACTGAACTTGGTACATTGCAATCCGACTTAACTGCAGTCTAGGGGGAACCATATCCGGGTGACCTCTCTTGACTTGACAACAACCGTTTACTTGCTTTGTGTTTTGTTTGCTTGAGTTGCACTAAAAGTTCACCGCTAAATAACGAGAATTCACCGAGTAGTCATCACATCTAGGACCCGGGTTGACAATAAAACTCAAACCCGCTATACTACGCTTTAGGAAGTGGTTGCACTTGGCCATTTTCTAGAGTGACAGTAGGAGTGAGTCACTCAGCTGTCACTGTATGAAGACGAAGATGACGTTGAGTTGTACATGGGCGTGGGGCCGTGCTTGTCACGGGCACGCTTCGGGCTCATTTATTTCGTGCAATGCTTGGCTCGGCCCGTCAGTTTTCATGTCGTGCCATGCAAGCCCATCTGTTAACTTTGCTAGGCCCGGCCCAGGCCCGGACACAGTTTGAATCGTGTCGTGCATATTCGTGCTCGTGCCATGCTCGTATTCGGGTTTAATGAAAATGACGAAAACAAAAGAGAGAATGCAAAAGAAGGTGAAAATTGGACGGAGAAAGATAGTATTAACCGATAATGTTTGAGAAAAGTAACAAATAAGGGGGAAAAGAAAATTAGAAGTATAGCGATTGTGATTTGGCTTTATTTAATTCTTTGTTTATTTTTACTTATGTTAGTAATTACGTATATATTTTTATGACACTTCTAACAACAACAAATAATTATTTTTCTACTTGTGTTTTGTAATATTTGAACCTATAATTCTTTTTATATTTATTTTCTATCAAATAAATATTATTTTCGTGCCATGTCCGTTCTTATACTCAATAAAGTCTCAAAAATATTAGGCCCGACACGGCCCACTTATATACCGTGCCGTGCCCGTGCTCATGCCTGTGCCCATAAAGTTTAGGCCCGGCACGACCCATAAATTATTCATGCTCGTGCCGTGATGACCCATTTATTTCATGGCCGTGCTCGTGCCGTACTCTAACCGTGTCGTGCCGTGCTAGCCCGTGAGCGGCACGGCCCGATGCCCACGTATACGTCGAGTTCTCCGATGTTAGTGACAGGGAAGAAGAAGGTAGAGACCAAGGCTAGATTCTGGAGATTAAGGAAGAGGAAGAAGAAGGTAGAGAGGTTGATGAGCTGTCAGATTCTAGAACTGTTATTGGAGCTCCGATTGAGACTTCGGATTCTGCTAATGTTGCTGAATTCGGAAGCAGTTTGGATAATGATTCTGGTTCTGTTGTTGTTGATGAATCGTCGGAAGTTGGAAATAGTATACTAGAAGTTCAGGCCGAAACTTCTCTGGTGAAAGAATAGATTTTGGAGGAGAAGGTTTTGACAGCCGACGAGGAGGATTTGGCCAATGATTCTGGTTCAGTTGTTTGATGAATCTTCGGAAGTTGGAAATGATATACAAGAAGTTCTCGCCGAGGTGTATATACAAAGAGTTGGTGTTTATTTATTTTAGTTTATTATTTTTATGATGTGGAACTGTTAAAATAATTAAATTTATTTTTTATTAATTTTTAATTGTCACGTCAGACATTTATCGGCCAACTGTTAGGATTGATTTATACATCTTATAAAGTTAATGGAGAGTGACTAAACATGGATGGTTTTAATAATTCGAGTGACCAAAATTGATATTAATTTTTTCAAGTGACTAAACGTGACACATTTTAGTCAACCCAGTGACCAAACTTGGCATTTAAAAAATAAAAACGACTTTGAAGCTACGGACGATGAACGGTACCGTACATGGCAGGAAAACTTGGGCTTTACGTCGGCACTTGGCCTGCGAATATGGCGACAAAACTATATACTGTAATCATATCCAACGCAAAAATATATATAAAAATAAATAAGACAATGGAAGGGTGTGAAAAGTGGGCTCAATCCGAACCTTTCATTCAAAAAATTAAGATCTAAGAATGGAGAATTAAATGTCATTTTTATTTTCTTCTGTTTTTTTAATCGGCTCATATCTTCTTTGTTTTAACTCGGATTTCAATTTGTTTTTCACAGGCGGAACGAGTTTGTTGGGCTCTACAAAACGAGATCCATTTTCAATATTTTTTTAGAACAAAATTTTCTTGTCTCTCGGTATCAACTGCATACCATATGATATTTTCTTCGTTTTTAATTCGTTTTTGAAAATTTTTTGCACAGAAGGAACGAGTTCATCATGATCTATTGGATCTACAAATTTTTAGGTGAACAAAAGACTTTACCAAAAAATACCACACAATACCTCCCTGGTACGGGGTGATATCTTGTGGTATACAATGTTACAAGTTGTAAATGACAGTTAATATACTTCTACTATCATGTATTTAACCATTCTACACTCTTGGTTTGTTCATACCACCATAATACGCTTTTCAAATCATATGTATGCTCTTATTTCAATATCAAGTAAAAAATGACTCAATTTTTTTTGTTCAAAAAATACATTAAATTGAATATCATTATGAAAAATACAATTAATCTGATCTAACTGTGTAAAAAAAATTTAAATTTCAACTTAAAACAAGTAAGAAATCGTTTGTTAAAAATTTAAAGGTGAAAATTAAATACTTTTTAGAATAAAGAAAGAGGGTTTATGTGATAGATGATGATTGAATTATGCATAGTTATCGACTAGAAGGCCATTAACCGATTTGCTCACTGTAGTTGAAAAAGGAAAAATAACAGAAGCCAAAGCAGAGCTTCCTTCCTAACTTGCAGGTAGGGTACTTCGCTCCTTTTCCCATCCTTTCCTCTTCCCGTCCGTCATCTCAAGTCTCAACCACCTGCGGCTGCTATAGCCTCTCTTCTCTCTCGTTCTCAACTGTTTGGCGATCTGCAGTTTCAGGGTTCCTTCCGTTTTTTGCCCTATTGACGAACTATTCCGTTTTACTTTCTCGCTTGGGTAAATTTACAATGTGATTTTTGTTTCAGGCGTTCGCAATGGCGAAGAGCTCTTTTAAGCTGGAACATCCCCTCGGTTTGTCTCTCTTCTTTCTCTCGTATCTTGATCTATAGTTAGGGATTGCGGATGTGACTTGTGAGGGGCTTATTCATCAACACGACGAACCCTACTTGAAGAGTGTGTTCCATTTTGGTTATTGATTGTGTGAGAAAGTGGAATTAGATAGTTTTCGTAGTTTTTCTTTCCTTAGTTCTGTTTTTAGCTTGTCGAGCAATTACGATCCTGAGTGTGATTGTGCTTGGGGTAGAGAGATTGATACTGTGCAAGTCGAGATTACTGATTTCTTTTTTCCAATTATTGCTATGGTTCTCTTCTTGAACATGGGCAGAGAGGAGGCAGGCTGAAGCTGCACGCATTAGGGAGAAGTACCCAGACAGGATCCCGGTACGCAATCTACCATCCTATCTTTCTTAATCATGTGTAGTTTCGGGCGACTTCAAGAACTGTGGATGTGATTGATTGTGCTTATTGTTGTAGGTAATTGTTGAGAGGGCTGAAAAGAGTGATGTCCCTGATATTGACAAGAAAAAGTAAGTCTCTTTGTATACTTTTGAATCTATGAACTATGGTTGTTGTATCTTTCGGGCTTAGTTCTGCGATAACTTGTTGATCTGCCTGGGTCAGTAATGAAGGATTTACTTGCATGATAGTAAGATGGGGATTTCTGGTAAGTGTTAACATTTAGTTTTAGCTAGCTAAGGTTGAGAATGAAGTACTGAGGGGATACCAACTGGAGACGATTACTGAGTGCTCATGTTCTGGGAATATTGATGATAAAGCTTATTGGATCCAACTGGTTACTATACTATGATATGCTTATAGTAGGTCACATTAGCTTTTGTTTTTAATTCCTCTTCCATTCACTAATACTGGACCTTGGTTTGACCACTGTAGATACCTGGTTCCTGCTGATCTCACAGTTGGACAGTTTGTTTATGTGGTCCGGAAGAGGATCAAGCTGAGTCCTGAGAAGGCCATTTTCATTTTTGTGAAGAATATTCTACCGCCAACCGGTGAGTGAAACCTTTGCTTTATGTTGTGCCCGAAATTCATCCCTTGTTATATCACCATTGCAAATTACTGACCCTGGAGCTTGTTTGCAGCTGCCATGATGTCTGCAATCTACGAGGAGAACAAGGATGAAGATGGGTTCCTTTACATGACCTACAGTGGTGAGAACACCTTCGGGATCCTCTAATGCTCGAAGAACTATGAAGCGCAGTGTGAATAAAGACTGGTAGTGTGGGGCAACGCAGAAGAAATATGAAGTGAAGAAAAGTTAAGCCTTTAGCTAGAATTTCGTAAGGAAGAATCTACTGATCCTTTGTATATTCGTGACCTCCCTCTCTGGAATGGTATCTCTGACTCTTATCTTGTAAACTTGGATACCTCTAGAATCTGTGTCGATTCTGCCACTTTAGTCGTTCCACTCGAATTGTTCACTCAGATTCTGTCAAAGAATTTACATCTTTTCTAGCTAGGAGCAACTATTTGGTTCCAACAGGGTTGAATCTGGCTGAAAAGTCCATTGAATCTGACTGTAGTGAATCTATAATTTGATTCGGTCATTTTCTTCCAAGTTATGCACTTTTCTTGGTCCCAGTTCTTGCTTGGAGCATCTTTAAAAAAGTGGATCAAATTGAAACTCCATGTTGCTTCAATTCTGGATCGGACTGAATCTTGAACACCTTTCTAGCATTTTGTGTAAAATGTTATCTGTAAGGCTAGAAATCTTTTTTTTTTTTTTTTTTGATAAGGGTGATATAGGTTCATTTTGTTTCTATTAAGGTACTACTTAAGGGATTCGAACCTGGGACCTCCAGGTTCTAGGCTAGTGGTGTTACCACTAGGCCAAGCCCTTGTTCGTAAGGCTAGAAATCTTGTATGGCCGACATAGCCGACATACGTTTTGTCTACTAGCAACAGTTCAAAAGATAAACCTAACCAATATGGCAAGAGTTCACTGCTCCATTGCGGTATGGGTTCACAAGCATCGCTTTTAAGCTATAGCATATACAGCAACAAGTTTATATCTTTATTCCATAAATAATCATAAAAAAAGGGGTGAATACATTCTGAAACGCTATCTTGTAACATAATTACAAGGCGCAGCTCCATCCTAAGTTTTGGTTTCTTCTTCTAAGAGGAAGAGAACTTCTTGCTGCACTGTGTCTTGACCCATTTGATCCCTACCGAAGTCCCACTCTTCATCTTAGAAGCCCCAACAGAAGCTGCTGACTTAGCCTTGTCCAGTCCAGCCGATGCTGCTGCTTTGACATCTGCCATCTTCCCATTGCCGTTGCCATTGTCTTTCTTGCTCGACGATAGCCCATCGTCGTATCTATCTTCCCTGTCATAGCTGCCCCATTGATCTGCCCAGTTCGGTGCTTCTTTGCTTCCCATAACGCTTCTCGTCGGTTCAATCCCCCCTGCTTGTCCCTCTATCTGTAAGGCATTATAATAGATCTTGGAAAATTGTGATGCTCAGATCATGAATATGAATGGAACCTTTGCATGATGAAGCTGTGGAAGCAAATGCTCAAGTTAACAGACAAATTAGAAGTTTACCCATTTTAATTCACAGGAATCTCTACCAAACCCAGATTTCAAACACAGTAAAATCCCAAATGCGTACACGTCGAGGAACGGTAAAACAGCTAAAGTGGCTTTTCAGTTTTGGTGAAACGTTGCCTTCACTCAACTGTCAATTGCTAAAGATTGAGCGAGAGCATATAGAAGCCCAAGTTTGGGGGTAGCCGAGGATGATTATATGAAGGACTGAAATTAAGAAGCAATGAGCAAGGATGATTTAGTATTTAATATTTACCTTTCAGGAGCACTGTTCGCCGATTGCGAATCGACTAATGAGAGTAATTTTTTCTTCAGGGTCCTTTCTTTCTCTTCGCTGCTTCTATGCCTGCTACTTCTTCTTCTCCACTGGTTTTCGATTGGGTAATGTGTGTTTGGGGTTTGAGGGTTTTAACTTTCTTCAGTCTAGAAATTATTACGTTTATACTTGAAGGGATCAGAAGACAGGATCTGTAACGTTTTGCTAGATACGGAAGGATAAACGAGAGGATCTGTTACGTTTTGCTAGTTATGGAAGGCAGGGATGGCAATGGGTCGGGTTGGGGTGGGTTTTGTCAAACCCAAATCAAAACCCATGGGTTTATCCACTAAAAGAACCCGGAGTAAAACTCGTTAGGTTTGAAAAACTCAACCCCAACCCAAACCACTGGGTATCCGCGGGTTCATGGGTACCCGTAGGTTTTTGTGGTAAAAAATTTACAATAACAAGTTTCTTTCAAAATAAAAGCTTAACATCAATTTTCTCATACAAATTAATCATACAAAAAACATCAATCTATAGCATACAAGCAAACCGCAAATGATCAATACAAATTGTTCAAAATTAAAGATAAACATCTTTAAACAATAAGATTAATTGAAAGCTTCTTCCTCGTCAACTAAGTTTCTTCACTCTCCGCTTCATAATATCAACTTCATTTTAAACAATTAGAAAGAACAATCAACAAATTATACATGTCTCCACAAATATAAAGAATATTAGTTGTTTAAGGAAAATATATTATTTAGAATATTAAATATATCGGGAAAGTATTTTGTCAGAAACACAATTATATATGGTTTCTATTATTATATTAGGTATGATAATTATTATTATGGTTAGTAGAGATTTAGTCCAATTAGGTTATTCGTTAGGGTTTTCCAGTATTTCCTATATATATGTACTTTGGGTTTACGTCATAAGGAATCAAGAAGAATATTAAGCAAAGTCTCCTAAACCCTAATCTCTCCTCTCAACTCCTAATTTCTCGTCTCATCCTAGTCCAAGGCCTCGGCCGATTCCCAATTCTATTCTTTCTCATCTAAATCCCTAATTCTTTCTCTCAATCCCTAAATCCCTAACTATCACGAGTGCCGAAGATCAATATCGAGAATCCCTAGAAGCGTGGTTCTCACAATTGGTATCAGAGCCTGGTTACAGGCACTCGTACCAGAGCTCCGGTTGCAAATATGAGTTTATCACAACTCTCAACTGGGGATGAGCGCATCTATGAAGACTTCGAGCCAAACATCTGCAAACAGGAATATCCGCATCGCATCAAGCTATTCTTTTCCTTGCCTGGGTTCGAGGCTAAGCACCTAGATGTACAAAGAATTGAATCAAATGTGCTAACAATTACAGCAGAGCGTTCGTTGGGTTACGAACGAAGATGGATCCGTTTCGAAAAGCAAATCGAATTTGGAGAAATCTACAATGTCTCACAATGTCGCGCTAGCTTCAGAGAAGGCAGTTTCACCATCAAGGTTCCGAAAATCATCATCTCGCAGGATACGCGGAAATCGTTGATTGAGGAAGAAGAAGTCACTGCAGAGGCTTCAATCTCCCTCCACCTTGTCGAAAAGTACAGGAAGAAGGAGGAGAGCAAGGCCTCCGCTGCCGCTAAACCAACGGCCCCACCGCCGCCACACAAACCACGATCGACGAACCTGGCCCAAAATCTGACGGCGACGGGCTGTTCGCCAAGGAGGGAGTGGCCTGCAAAGGAGCCCTGCGGCTTCATCCAACGACGAGAAGCAGAAGCGGAGCCTGAGACGCGAAGGAGACGAGCGAGCCTCCGTGTCGCTGGCCGAGCGGGTCGACGCCGGAGATCGGGGCGAAGAGAGCTTCGGCGGAGAAGAAGACGAACGGGTCGGAGATGCGGGTGGGAGCGCCTCTCGAATCCGTTTCGTCGGCTGGGCGGTTCGCCGCCAAGAGAGGAAACGGCGGGAGATGAGCCACTGTCGGGGGAAGAAGCTCCGCGTGGTCAGCTGGGCGGTTCGCTGCCGAGAGAGGAGGCGCCAGAGAGAGCGGCGCCGAAGAAGAAGGAGGCGACCAGGTTGAAGACGACGGCGGCGGGGTTGGGGAAGTCGGCGACGAAGTTGGAATCGCCGGAGCATGAATCGAAGATGGTGCCAAGAACTCGCGCCGGTTGTCGGGCGAGCAGTTCGCCACCGAGAGAGGAAGGGCCGTAGAAGAAGGGTGACTCGCCGACCGAGAAGAAGCTGGTGGCGAGTCGATCGCCGGTCGATCCGCCGACGAGGGAAGGCTGGAAGTTGGGACGAACGAAGGGAGGCGGCTACAGCGATCCTTCCCCTGCAACCCTAGGCCGCATGACGCAAATGGAGTCCAGGCCGTCGGGCCGGGTCATTTGGGCCGTCTGTTTCAAAGAGTCAGCTGAGGTGGGTGTCGGTCAAGGGCTGGACTTCGCTAAACTTCATCAGGTGAGTTGGGCCAAGGAAGAACTAGAAGCGGGGCCAGCAAGGAGGAGGAAAGCTTGGGGCGAGCTGGGCCAATGTAAGCTGCCGAACGGGCCACAACTTCAGCTCGAGTAGGCTGCAAATGAAATTAGATATGGGCCGAGGCTAGACGATAGTGGGCCGTATCAGCTGGAAGGAATAAAACGTAAATTGGGCTGTGTCTTGAATAAAGCAGGCTTGGAGGAAGTTTTTAAGTTAGTGGATGGGCTCAAGGGATTTAAATGTGGGCTTTCAACAAAGGTTAATTCAAAGCAACTTGGAGGAGAATGGAGCTCACAAGAGTTGGTCTTCACCACTAAGTTAATAGAAGAATTTATGAGGCTTTCTCTTGAAGATTACAAGCTGGTTCATGAGGAGGCGCTAAAAGAAGAACAGTTCTCCAATTTTTATTTCGTGGACTTCGAAAAAGATGGAGAAGAATTGTTTGGCTATGGAGAACATGACATGTGTTACGTGGAGAGACAAGAGACGGGGGAAGTGGGAGATGCGCGAGAAGAATTCGTTCAAGGAATCGAGCGCAATTGGAAACGAAGAAAGCGAAAGGTTAAGGAGACAGAAGTCAACTACAACCTTGAGGTCAAGGTTGTTCTCAAGGGGGATGGATTGTCAGAAACACAATTATATATGGTTTCTATTATTATATTAGGTATGATAATTATTATTATGGTTAGTAGAGATTTAGTCCAATTAGGTTATTCGTTAGGGTTTTCCAGTATTTCCTATATATATGTACTTTGGGTTTACGTCATAAGGAATCAAGAAGAATATTAAGCAAAGTCTCCTAAACCCTAATCTCTCCTCTCAACTCCTAATTTCTCGTCTCATCCTAGTCCAAGGCCTCGGCCGATTCCCAATTCTATTCTTTCTCATCTAAATCCCTAATTCTTTCTCTCAATCCCTAAATCCCTAACTATCACGAGTGCCGAAGATCAATATCGAGAATCCCTAGAAGCGTGGTTCTCACATATTTATATGTGTGTGAGCGTGTACCCATGGGGTGAGTTTACCTAAATCCAACCCGACCCGGTGAATAGCGTAGCGGGTTTAAACCCGAACCCGGCCCAAAACCCGTCAACACGGGTTGGGTCGGGTGAGTACCCGTGGGTTCAGGTTTTGTTGCATCACTAATGGAAGGATATCTAGTATTTACTCCCACTTTCCATCATCCTTTACACTCTTTCTTTTTTTTCCGAACAACTTATCTATTTTTTCTAATTATCATAAATGGTCACAAAACTATTCACTTTGTATAAAATGGTCACAAATTTTAATTTTTGCACGTTACAGTAACATATGTTTGGACTAATAATGAAAAGATAATTTGGTTCATCTCTATCTTAAAAGCTATTACTTCAGTAGAATCAACACGCCACACACCACGTCATTTAAAATATTAATAAAAAATTGATAACCAAACCCAATTAAACTAATAACCCAACCGAAAACCCTAATTCTATACCCACCGACCCAAATCTTTGGAGACAGAACTCTGTCACTTTCCTCTTTCCAGAGCTATTCAGCTCCCAAACCAACGAAAACCTCAAACCAGAAACCAGTAACAAATAGCGAGGCGGAAGCAATGCGAAGGGTCGAGATCGATTGGGGATTTCATCACAGAGGGGAACGCGGAGATGACGACCGGGGGTCACGGATGATGCTGCAGAAGGAGCAGAGCGACCGACAACGACAACTCCTCGTGGCGGACCACCAGAAACCTCGACTGCACATTTCGTCGAACAATTCTTCGTCATCTTCGTTGGGCGAGCTCGCGGCCGGGTCGGTGAAGTTCGAGGAGGAAGTGGAAGGCGGGGGGTTTGGTGGGTTCGTGTCGTCGTCTCTAGAGAACGAGTTCGGCCGGGTGCAGTGTTCGTCCTCTTCGTCGCCGGAGCGGGTGAGTGGCTCTGAAGAGTTTTTCCCCGGTGAGTATCGAGTTAGTATTTTCAATTGGGCTGCCCTGTTCAATTGGGTCGGTCACTAATATTTTATTAATATTTTAAGTGATGTGGCGTGCTGACTGAACGAAATTAACGGTTTTTTGGATGGAGATAGAATGATAGATGGAATGAGGAATGCGTTAGGGTGGAAACTGAATTTCTAGTAGCCACCGTGGCTACATCAGTATCCACCATTTATTTTCTGAATGGTTAAAGATCGTCCTAAAAATTACTAACCATCGTCCTAACTTAATATGTAATTTACTAAATTGCCCATTTTGAATTTCAAACTCAAACACAAAACAAACAACTTCTCCCCTTCCATAAATCTAAAAAAATATATAAACCAAAATTCAACAAATTATCTTATGGATCGAATTAAATCGTAGTAAAATAATAGAAAATTATTGATATAAACCAAAAACAAATCCAAAAAAACCCAAATCCCTCAACTGAAGCCAATTTTTGGTTGTACCATGGCTCAACCTAAGGCAATTTTCGGTTGTACCATGGACCAACCGAAAATTGCCTTAGGTTGAGCCATGGTACAACCGAAAAATTGGCTTCAGTTGAGGGATTTTGGAATTTTTTTTGAAAAAAATCAGATTTTTACCTCGTCAGAGTCGCTACTCATGATTCGGACGTATTCTCAACGATTACGACTCGAGAATGTCAACAATGAATTCGAGAGTGTGGAAAATTGAGTGTTTTTCATTTTTTTTAGTTAAAGTGATGTTTGTTTGCTAAAAATGCCAAAAGGTTAAAAGTGTAACTTTGTTATTTTTTAGGATGATCAATAGTAATTTTAAGGACGACCTTTATCAACTTCCTTTATTTTCTTCTCTTTCCTCTTTTTTAAATCTTACGGTTAAGATTGCCTCAGGATAATTTTAGAAGAAAAAAAGGACCACACTTGATTATTCTATATATTCTACCCTAACCCTACTTCTACAGCCAAACCCGCCGCAGCCGCAAGCTCTCACCCTCCCCGACGATGGCTTAGGGTTTGCTTGTCCGACGACTCCTTCTGCGCCTCTTTCTCCGGCCACGGGCGAGTCACCAGTCGGATGGGTGACGATTCGAGCACCGTCGCGCCGTCGCCCAGAAAGAGCCTCAATCAAAAGCCAGAGAGAGAAAAATTGTATTTAATATATTTATGTAATTTATTAAAAAAGATCATTAATAATTTTTTTGTTATACCCAATTTGCCCTTAGTAACCACGGTGATTACTATAAAATAGTAAAACCTGTCCCGATGGAATGATCATTTCGTTGTTCTTTCAAACATATGTGACCGAACCGTGCAAAATAAAAGGTTTTTGACCGCTACAAAATCAAAACCGAGTTGAGCCGGTCGGCCCGACCAGTAAAACCGAGACCTGGCCACCAAATTGGATCGGCAAAGTAAAAAAACCGGAGCGATTTTTGGAACGGCCGAGGCGGTTAACCGCTGGAATCGCTCGAGCCGCTTGTACGTTTTCTCCATTCCGGCCGAGAGCCGACGAATCCAGCGATCACAACCGTCGGCGCTCTCCCCAACGAACCCAACCCTTACCGTGGCTCTTGCTTAGGGTTTGGATATGTCTATTTACTTTTAATTATATATATAATGTAATATTACTTTGTAGTACTAAATTTTATTCTAGTCATTAAATTGTTCAATTACTATCATATGTGTCTTTTACTTATGATATTATTGTTTATAAGTTATCAGTTCTCTAACGATTTTTAAATGGCTAATCATCGATTGAACCACTAAAGTGAGAGACGTTCATATTACAGGGTGATGCTCCGTTTCGGTTCTGACAACATTAATTTTTCCCCATGTGAAACTACATAATTCTATCTCCACAATGTATTTAGAGAATGGGTAATTTCACCAAATGTAAATACTTGGATAAGCATAGACATTCTGATTTTTAAAAGGTTTCATGTAAGTAATTTGTACAATGTTATTTAAATTTTATATGTACTATGTTTCATATTCTTGTTTTCTATACTAATAAAGACAACCATTCTTATAAAAAATACTGATAAGTCAACCACCAAATCAAAATTTAGCGAAAGAGGCCCGACCTAATTGGTAGCACCGTTCGTGGGGTACTTAGAGGTCCCTCATTCGTACCCCAGGTAGCGCAGCTTTTGCTGCATTTCTACCGTCCGTGGGTTGTTCCTGGTGACCCTGAGGTGTCCCCCAGGTGTCTCAAGCATAGGTCTCCTCCGGTAGAATCTCCGCCGAGGTAAATAGCCCAGTGGGAGTTGGTGGAGTTCGGCACGTTTAAAGGACGTGTTTGAGCTACTGCTCCACTGTGCGGTTGTGGGTGTTCCCTCGACGGGTCTTTAGCCTGACTTCGGCTGCGAAAATGGATCGCCAGTCCCGAGGTTTGGTTCGACTACGACATCACAAAGTGGTGACCATAGAGGATGTTCCCGTTATAAAAAAAAATCAAAATTCATTTTGCAACCAACAAATAACATATTAGCGGGATATCATTTATATATAATACTATTTATTTAATAATAATATTATTTAAACTTTCGTTATTAATTGGTAACAATAGTAAAAGTATCGAATTTTACAATGAAACATAATCTATATTTGAAACATGTCTCCAAAATAGTAATAACTATGGTATTAGAAAATAATTTAAGAGTATTATTGGAAAGTATATTTTCCCGATAATTTGGTGATCATATTAAAGCTCCACTTGACCAATAGTAGGGCTGGTATTCGGTTAGCTGGTTATCGGTTAACCCGGTTACCATACCGACAATCGCTGATCGGCTGGTGGCTGGGGCGGTTCAGTATACCAGAAATGTAACCGGTTAACACCGACGGTTAACCGGTTAAACTGATACCGTCAAAGAGGGGCTGGAAACGCGAGGTTTTACTCCCCGCCCTCTCAACCCAAATTCACACAGACCCAGTCGTGTTCCCTTCCTTCCTCCCCATTTCGATTTCCAGTTCCAGGCAGCAGAAACACAGAGAGCCCGAGCTGCCCGCCCAGAACCACCTCCTCTGGCGCGCCCCTTCCCCCTCCGGCCGCCGCGCGCCTCTCACCTCCTCCTCTGTCAAATCTGCCAGACCGCCACTCCGCCTCCGACCTCCCCTTCCTCTTCCCAGTCGTCAACGACTCACCCGCCGCCTCTCCTTCCTCTTCCCAGTCCTCGCCGGGGCCACCTCTCCTCTCATATGTAAGCAGTCCCCGCCACCTCTCTTTCCTCTTCTAGTCTTCCCAGTCCGCCACCTCTCCTTCCTTTTCTCCATTCTGCTAAACTGACTGCCTTCTTCTCTCCTTGTTTTGTTTGTTGTTTCAGCTCCGCAAGAAAAGCAGGCACTCAGGCAGCAACAACCACCATTAGCCTACTCTCCCGTCCCATTCGCGGTTAATCAGAAAACCGATTTGTAATCGATTAACCAGATATTGGGTTACCGATTATAACCGGTTTCAGTAATCGGATGCCACTTCGTCCCTAACGGTATACCGATCGACCTATTGGTGCTAGTTCAAGGAAACAATACCAATGTGCTTTACATCCAAATCACTGAAACTGCTAACACTACTAGCTCAAACATATCAACATTAATAAACTGAATATAAGCTATACCTTGAGCAAACTCTAAAATTCTACAGCTATACAACTTGATTTTTCCCATTATGAACTTCCTCAACTCAATACAACTTCTTGTCAAGGATCCAAAAGGATGATTGCATCTCTCCTTCCAAATAATGGCCACTGTCAAGCACCATAAGTGTTATGGGACAATCCAAGTACCACATCGGTAATACAAGGGAAGTAACCCTTGTATATAAGTGTCCACCAAACTCATTAGTACGAGGCCTTTTGGGGAGGACACCGAAGAGTAAATCCGTGCGGGCTTGGACCAAAGCAGACAATATCGTACTAATTGAGCGGCTCGATTTGACAAGTGGTATCAGAGCCAAACCTGATGCCTTTACCAGATTTCTTCTTTCCCTTTCCACCTGTAACAGCCAAACCTGATGCCTCACCACCTGTACCAGATCCGGACACCTTATGCATGATCTCTCTCGTATGAAGAGCAGACCTGACATCCTCCAACGACACGCTTTCTTTACCGGCAATAAAAGAATCAACGAAATTCTCATATGAACTCGGCAAAGAAACTAGCAGGATTAGGGCAGCTTCCTCGTCATCAACTTGAACATCTATATTATGCAGATCCAGCAATATAGAGTTAAGTTGTTCGAGATGTTCCCTCAAAGGCTTACCTTCTTGCATCCTCAAGCTGAACAACCGTTGCCTGAGATGCAGCTTGTTGGTTAAGGACTTCGTCTTATACAGACTCTCCAACTTTAACCACAAGCCCGCAACAGTCTTCTCAGCAACGACTTCAATGATGATGTCATCAGACAACGATAGCTTGATGGTCGAGTGGACCTTCTCCTCCAGGGTATTCCACTCATCGTCATCGACCACTGCCTTCTTCTGTTTCGCATACAGCGGCCCCCCACAACCCTTGCTGTTTTAATAAAACCTGCATCTTGATTTACCATATAGCGAAGCTGTTCTTCCCCGTGAACTTTTCGATCTTCATGTTCACCGACGTCATTCTTCTGAATAGAAAACCCTAGCCTGATTTCCACCCGCGGCTCTGATACCACTTGTTATAAACGCGCTGCTATGGATCGGGAAATCGCCGGAATCGATAAAGTAAGAATACGAAAGTGAGAATCGAAAAACACAGACACAAGATTTACGTGGTTCATTAACACGATGTGTGTTAGCTAGTCCACAGGTGAGAGAGAGCCAGTTTCACTATATCAAGGAGATTACAGAGGAGTATGAGAAGTATTTATAGTACTCCTCCATGTGGGACTAAACCTAATCCTATCTGGTAGCGAGACCCCCGACTACCAGTCGTAGCGGCTGATAGTCCGATTCAAGTCACATCAACAAATATCCATCTTGACTTGAATACTCTTCCTCTGAAATCTCTGATGTACTCTTCTCCTTCTCTCTCTCTCTCTCCCGCCATCAATGCCCCGCAGGGCGGAGTCACCCACTCAAAAAATTCAGCAAGTCCAATCAGTGTTGGAACTTGCCATGTGGAATTGACTTCGTGAACATATCAGCAGGATTATCGGCGGTGCCAACCTTCTTCACCTTGATTCTCTTCTCTGTCCTCAAGAAATGATATCTCACGTCGATGTGCTTAGTCCTCTCATGGTGGACTTGATCCTTGGCCAAGCATATTGCACTCAAAATGTCGCAATACACCACTGCCTGATCATGATGTAGACCCAGATCACCAACCAGTCCCTTCAACCATATTCCCTCCTTAGCAGCTTCTGTCAATGCCATATACTCTGTCTCGGTAGTAGACAATGTCACCGCCGACTGCAGAGTTGCCTTCCATCTCACTATAAAACTCCCAAGAGTGAATACATAACTGGTCATCGATCTCCTCGTGTCAACATCTCCAGCATAGTCCGAGTCAGAATACCCAGACACCAAGCACTCTGTATCACTTACGAAGCTAATCTCCACATCGGGTGTACCCTTAAGATACCGGAAGATCCTCTTCACAGCCTGCCAATGCTCCTTCCCAGGTTGTATCATAAACCTGCTGACAACACTAACAGCATGTGCATGATCAGGTCTAGTGCATACCATAGCGTACATCAAGCTACCTACTGCACTAGCATATGGGACTCTCGACATGTACTCTTTCTCAGCCTCTGACTGTGGTGCATAAGCTGAGGATAGATGAACATTTGAAGCACTAGGAGTATTTAAGGGCTTTGTTGAAGACATGCCAAACGTCGACAATATCTTCTGGATGTAGCTCTTCTGTGACAAGAAAAGCTTCTTTTTTCGACCTGTCCCTGTATATCTCCATACCCAAGATCTTCTGAGCAGCTCCCAAATCCTTCATCTCAAACTCAGCACTGAGAAGCCCCTTTAACTTCTGGATATCAGACTTCGACCTCACAGCTATGAGCATATCATCCACATACAGAACAAGATAGATCATCGAACCATCCTCCACCTTGTTGTGATACACACAACAATCATATGGACTTCTGTTGTAGTCCAGATCAAGCATGTAACTGTCAAATCTCTT